AGCAAACAGTAGATGGATCATGCATCTCACAGGTCTTCATTGGATGTTTTTCTATTTCTTAAGATCATGAAAGCACACTTTCATGTTTAGCTGTCTGTATATTTTTTGGCCTGTCACTGCTTTGTTATTTTCTTCACTTATCCAGTTTCCAAAGACTTTTAAGCACGTGGGGCACATTATATCCAGTTTTCCGTTAATAACTCTTTCTTTCGGAATCACTTTTTTTGGTGCAGCTATTGGTGAAATGATGTTGTCTTTGGCATTATTCATAGATCCAACTAAAGAAATGGAAACATATATGTTTATGCAACAGAATGCTAGTAACAAAGTACCTAAAGATACTATTCAAACTGTTTTGATAAAACTAATCCAACCCTTGAATTCAGAAATCAGAAATCAGAAAGGGGTTTATTGCCAAATGTTGAGCAGGTTTACAACATTAGGAAATTGCTGCGGTGCTTCAGTGCAAACATAGTGTCATAAATAGCACTTAAATAGACATGAAAAAATAAAAGTAGGGATAAGAATTAAAAGTGCTACGTAGAAAGATATGTGCATGAGCTATACATGAGATATATACATGAGAATAAGAATTAAGAGTGCTACGTAGAAGATATATACATGAGTGCAGGTGGTGATCAGTGCCAAACATGGAATGATGCAGTGACACAGCGTAGGGTCATGTGTTATTGGTGGGAACAGTCATATGGTTATTGTTCATGTGTCCAACAGCAGAGGGGAAGAAACTGTTCTTATGGCGAGAGGTTCTGGTGCGAATGGACCGGAGCCTCCTGCCTGAGGGGAGCAGGTCAAACAGACTGTGTCCAGGGTGAGAAGGGTCAGCTGAGATCCGAGCTGCACGCCGCAGTGTCCTGGAGGTGTACAGGTCCTGCAGAGATGGGAGTCTGCAGCCAATCACCTTCTCAGCAGAGCGCACAACACGCTGCAGTCTCTGTTTGTCCCTGATAGTGGCTCCAGCGTACCACACGGTGATGGAGGAGGTGAGGATGGACTCAATGATTGCAGTGTAGAACTGCATCATCGTCCGTGTTGGCAGGTTGAATTTCTTCAGCTGCCTCAGGAAGTACATCCTCTGCTGGGCTTTCTTGATGACGGAGGTGATGGTGGGCTCCCACTTCAGGTCCTGGGTGATGGTGGTACCCAGGAAGCGGAATGAAAATTGTGTGACTTGAATCATCCTTGAATCATTGATGGGTCAGTGTTGGTTGTCTTCACAAGACATGAAAGAAAGAAACAAAAAACTCCTCTATAAACATTCACTTACACATAAATGAATGAAAAGCAGTCAATAGCCAAAGGAAAACTTCAGAAATATTTCAGAAAGCCTGGAGAACTCTTATTCATGACCACATATATAGAAATGTGGGGTGACTCAAGACCTTTGGACCACCTACAATATTAAATATACCATATAACAGTTACAGGAGCTGCATGGTCATGAAAACTCATGCTATGAAGTTCCCAGTGCTCATATTCTGCTGATGTTTACGTCAGATGATTGTTGGTACTTTAGTGTACTTTTACACATTATGCGCCTCAGGATTTGACAGCTCCAATCTAACTTATGGGTGCTGTGATTTCTAAATGCATACACTTTGCAATGATACCACTTACAGTTGACTGTGGAATAGCTAGGAGGGAAGAAATTTCATGAACTGACAATGGTGACATCCTATCACAGTAACTAAATTCTTGAAAATCTGTTAAAAAAACGTGGATTATTATGGATTATATAGAGACTTCTGTAGCAACCACCAATGTGGCATTCATGGTTGTATCATGGGTAATTTAGGATCCAGTCTTATAGAAGGATTAAAGGTCAGTGTATAAGGGATCCTTGCTGCTTCTATTTTGTCTCTATACCAATGAGCTGCACTTTGTGTGACTGATTTACAATAAAAGCAAATCTGTTTTTGTAAAGGAGAGTGAAACAGCAGCATTAGGAAGTGTTTGGATCAGCAGTCGTTTCGAGAACAGAAAATGCACTGTGGTGGTCTGAGTCGAGGGGGACAATGGTGAACCTTTCCACTAACAATGATTATTAAACAACAGAAACATTTACAGAGGCAAACTGTCATGAATATCTATTTTTCCAAAATAATGCCAACATTAAAGCATAAAGACTGAGCTTTAACTTCATGAAAATGATCACAATTGCAATTTACAATAAAAAAAATGTCTTCTTCACTCTCAGGTATGGAAAGCGTTCAGCTCAGGAGGACGTGGTCGCAGAGCTGCTGTTTGGTGGCGATAACAACAGAGACCAGAGATCAAGGTAACGATCCTCAAATGTAAAAACTGAAGATGTCACATGAACTTAAAGAATTTACACTCTTCTCTCATTGGCACATTATTTCCTCTCTCTGTCTTTCAACAGATATGATGACTCTTACATGTGGTGATTCTCCTCCCTCCTCTTCGGACATTCCCTCTGGGTACATCCCAGAATGCACCTGGAGGGGCCGACATGTGCCTCTTCTTCCCTGTACTCTAAACCCAACAAAAGAGCATCTCTGACGGATCACAACCTCCCTCTGTTTCTCCTGTTGTTGTTTCACATCTCTGTCACTCCAACAAAACTGTACATAATTTATTATTAAAATAAAATATATATGTATATGAAATCACAGAAGGTGGAACTGTGTCTGTGTGTGTGCGTGTGAGCTTTGGTGTCCTTCGACTGTCCATCAGACTGGAGGAGATTCTTGTTTTGCTGTTTGTATTGTGAAAAGTAACATCATAATATGTGAATCAAATGTTTTCTGTGAGAATAAAAGTTCCCAAGGACTCATGATCTTTTCTTTTGTGGCCTTTTATGTTCATTTATAACTCCGTATTTTAATTCTACCCGCTACTATAGCTTTGCCTGATTCCGAGTTCAACAGACTTCTTATTGATCTTACAGTGGGACTTGCCTCTCAACTGATCCTTTGTCTCCAATAAGGTATTTTAACGTCCTCCCCAAAAACATTTCTAAACTTAACTAAGAGACTGACAAAAAATAATGGCTTTGTCCAAAACATCAATGTATTGTGTTGAAGAGATATATTTAAAAGATAGTAGTAATCAGTATAGTGTGCATTCTGCACAGGCTCCAATTAATGGCAAGGGAAATGCTGCTGAACGCTTAGATATGGAGGAATAGATGCTCTGCTGAATGAAACAGCAAAGAAGCACCAGCGCCAACTTTGGGAAATAAACCACGTTTAGATTTATATGATAGGAGCAAATTGAGGATGTGCACTAAAGTCTGACTCGTAGACAGCTCTTGGAGAGTAAAGGATGATTCTGACGGTAAACTGACATTGTTTCTTCTACATCGGTAAGATCAAAGCTTTTAATCTAAAGGTTTTAGGAGCTGCTAACAGTGCAGAAAAGCCCAAACACCGTTTAACTCCAGAAACTCCAGAACAGTAAGATGACAACATTAGCCACGGCATCACCCAGATCTCAGGACAGATATTGTATTATTTGTTTTTTAAAGGAGTTGGCAACTACACTAACACTTTCTGGTAAAACACTGCCTCCTGGTGGTGAAACTTCGGGTTACGTTTGCAACATGTGAATACAAAAAGTACCTTTCAATCAGTTTTCTTCTGACATTTCTAAAAAATGGCAAGGATAGAGTAGCAAAATCAGGAAAATTGTTAAACACATAGCTTTAATCTTGAAAGTGTGATTTGCACGTTACTCTGAACTCAGAAAATTTGAAACAATAGTTAATATAAAATAATGATATAAATAATACAGTATAAATATATATAACCCGCAGCAACAGCGGACACAGCTCAGAAAATTAGGTTTAGCTTTAGGCCGAAATATTTTAAAAGGAAAATAATTAATAAGACCCCCCACCCCACCCCCTCTCTCTTTTTTCAGTTTTTCTTAGTGTTAAAAACTCTAATGAGGAGAGTTATTGATATTAACACAATCTATATCTCTTACTCTTACTGTGTCACTTGCTCTGGGTGAGAATAGATAATGCACTGAAAATGCAACTATATAGTGTTATATTTAAATAAAGACTGAGGTGCTTTCTGAGACATTTATAGCTGGTTTATACTGTCATGTTTTGTAATCTGTAATACTGAAATGTTTCTGGCAATTGAATAGTCCTTGTGGAACTGAGTCAAACTGCAATGTGTGTGTGGGTTTAATTGTTCTTGGACAACAAAAGATCATTATGGTGTGGATGAATAAGATGCATCAATGTGTCACAGGATATGCTGACAGTAACAAAATATCAAGCTTAAATGAAAGTTATCAGGTTATATTCTCAGGGAAACATACAGGGTTAATATGCAGTGCACAAAAGAAAGAGGGTTTACTGTGGGGACAGAAGATTTAGGAGTATTGAGCTAAAACACACAAACAGCTGCAGTAATGGTAATTTCCTCAGAGACCAGATCTTATTTTATTGTTGAATTTGGGGGGCATGAAGCAAAAGAAAGGAAGAATTAATCCCAGAGCACAGTCATGCTGAAGGCAAAGATGGCCTAATAATACCAGGGAGAAAACCAACATCACATTGTCAAAGGTATCTTTCTCACTGGTATCATTATGTTTCTTTTTATGTATTTTATTTGAGTATTTCTAGGACAAACTGTGATGGAAAAACAAAAGCTCTCACACTTACACATTCTTCTCATAGCTCATGTATTAATTATAACAATAGAAAAAAATGTGGAAGCAAAACAAGTACTGGCCCTTTAATGCACCTCTACGTAAAGCACCGGGAATATGGTCAATTCAACTGGAAGTCTCTTGATTCTAAGCGTTAAAGTATTACATTCCCATCCCGCTTCTTGTTTACCTGCATGCTTTATAATTTTTATTTCAGTGGCAACTCTTACTTTTATATAAATATAAAAATATAATGCTTTAATAATTCAATTTTATTGTAGCTTTATTCGCTAAATGCCTTTTATTCTGAAGTTTTCTCGGAAGTTGTGTATTTTTCTGCCTCTTCCAGTCACAGAGGGAACCGAGAAACCAGACGACAACAAAAAGCGCACGAGACATCACAGACGGCAGGAAGCGTCTCTTGTTGTGTTTAAAGGTGGGTGAGTTTGTTTTTATGTGTCGCAAATATCATTTTATTAACAGACGACGTCTTATCATTAAAGTATCCTAATAAAAGGGTTGTTTATTTTAGGGAGCAGATACACTAAAGCTAGGTTGACAAAGGTGCGCGCGTGTGCGCGCGGTTCTCTCAGTGTATTTAAATAACCGCGCGCCACTAGCGCTACATTTCATTTGTGATGTTTGGTTAGCATCTTCCTTTGTCAGACAGGCTATCTGCATGTCTTTCTGTCCCCCTCTCCTTTTGTGTTTGTGTGTGTGGTGCTTTGTTATGTATGACTCCTGAGATTAATTAGTAGACTTCTCTGCTTGCACTGGTGTATTTGCACCTGTGTCGTTTATTGTGTGTTTGCTGAGGGATTCATTGGTTATGTTAATGGTAGTGTAGTTAGGCTACCAGTTAAACTGTTTTAAGACTTAGAGTCACACTCACCCTGACAATTTTATGACAGTTTGTCAAGCTAGACTCATCTGTCCTAATACTTGCCAAATATAGCTTTTTTAAAATTGCTTAATAAAGCCATAATATTAAATACCATAAACCTCTTAAAGTTTTTTCTTTTCTATTATGTATTCTAACAATTCAATAACAATTCTGAGTAATTCTCTTGCTGTTTAAGTTTAGTAACTGACATGGTTTGTGTGTTTGTTATGATCTCAGAGACTCAAAATAATAATAATGATTAGAAACAATAATCACACTACATTTGTCATCAGTTAAGTTGTAGTCCAGCTGTTATATTTGCTTGGTTGGGATTTTCCTTTTGAAATAGTAAAACAGTACAAAAGAAAATGAGGATAAAACAGCACTTTAGCTCAAGTCTAAGGAATAAATCGTTTGAAATAACCAGCTTTACTAAATACAGGATAACGACATAGTTTAAACCATGTTGGCATGTAGTACAGCACACAGCCAAACAGCTTTTGCCGGCATGTGCTTTCTACAATTGTTTCTTTACATACAGCAGGCCTGTCCTGGTGCAGCTAAGCAGATGGATGATGGTGGGGGGTGGATGGAGGAGGGGCAGGGATGTTGCATAAATAAGGGAGTAATAGAGAGGAAAGGATGGGAGGAAGGTAAGAAGGAGGGGAACATCATTAAGGGGATCTGCAAGCAAGAAAAAAGGATTTAAAAAAAGCAGAGGGGAGTGAGACAGCAGGACAGAGTGCAGAGCTGAGGAAGCTGTGAGGGAAAGAAGTGTTAAAAAAAAGTGACGATGAAGCAGGAGGACGAGGAGGGGTGTTTGTTGGAACGTGTGAGGAAGCAGAAAGCAAATGGACTTCACAGCATTTTAAACACAGTCATTAATGTGTCTGTGTTGGGCTGTTATTGTAGTTGACATGTACAGTAGCTGAGCAGCCTACTTCATCCACATAGAATGAGTCCACGTCCTCATCAGTAATATCAACAAAAGAGCAAAAGTATTGTACTCCCATACTCATTGTCATACAGCTCAGTGAAGTTATGCTGCTACTCACGATGTGCATTTATTTGATGAGTCATACATACACAGTGTGAGTTCAGTTCAGGTGCACCGTCCGTGGTTCTACTTAGATTTGCAACATCTGTTTTTTGTTTTTTTCACACTGAGAATATATGAGGATATATGAGGATCTAAAATGGAGTAAACTAGGTGACTCATAACCAAAATAATTTAGCTGGATAAATGGTACTACAGACTGGAGTAAAATGTAAATATGTAAATATGATTTGGGGGTGCCCCTTTTAAGAGCAGTGGGCAGCCAGTAGGCTAGTCCCTTGGTCAGGGGAATTAACCTGACGTGTTTTCAGTTTGGGAAGAAACTGGAGCTACTGGAGGAAACTGGAAGAACAGATTGAAAAAGGAAGGCGCAGGTTTGAACTTTAAAAAGTTTCACTGTGAGACAACAGTGCTAAGCACCGAAGCATCCTATGCTCAGTCAGTTTCTCTCTTTTATGGTGTTCATTATTATTCATGGAGTTTTGCTGTCGCCAGTCTAGACCCAAACAGGTCAGGGTAGTATCCAAGATTAAAATCTTGTAATGTTTTCTTTCACATTTGTTGTCATCAGCTTGGATAAAATGTGCATCAAAGCTGGATGATGGTGTGAATCTCATCTTTCAGACATTATACTTTACATCCAGTCCATCCCGTTCCACACGTCTCACTCTTACAGCTTCTCCTTTTACGTCATCCACTTTTGCCTGAGGTGTTGTGTAATGCCTACTCTAGTATAAACAGCAGGGTGTGTGTGTGAAGGCAAAACTGAGGGAAGATGAGTTTCCATGGCAGCCACAAACTGCAACAGCAGTTTGTCATAGCAACAAGCATAGATAAATGCATAGATAGATAGAAAGCATTAAAGGGGATGTGTGCCTCTTTGTTCCCTTCTCACTTTCTCTGTATTGCCATTGTATTGTGTGTGCTGTCTTGGCAGTGTATAGATTAGTCACACCCACATGCCCTCCCCCTCCCCTTTTGCCATGCATGTTCAATTCCAGAACAATCAGTGGAGCTCCACCCTCAGTCGCTGACATCACTGCACCCTGTGTGTTTGTCGTGCTGCGTTATGGCGGGGAGGGGGTTCAAAAACACGAGCATACCGTATACACCCGCAAACATTCCCACGTGCAGCAACTGAGCAGTGCAGTTTTATCTCATGCTAATTTATAGCACACACTGAACCCAGTCATCAGTTATTATCACGCGGTTGTTACTCTCAGTCAGCAGGATGGCAGCATAAGTCTCGACAGAAAAGGATGATTAAAATGTTTAACATGAATATTTTAGACTGCTGAATCTGCTTTTTTAAATCATGCTATAAAAAAATTACTAAAATGTCAGAACTGAACAGAAAAAAATGTTAAAGCCCAGATTTGGTTCTTCATATATCTATGATAACTGACAACTCTCCAATTTTTTGGTCTCATATCCACTTCTGTCAGATGATCACTAAAAAAACTCAGAGCTGTAGTGTATGTGAGATATATCAGCTCAGCTATTTAGCTTCAGGCCTAAATGGCTAAATAGCTACCCTGGCTGTAGTGTTTATGTTTCTATGCCAGTACATTACTTGGAATTGTGCTCTCCCCTTTTTCTTCTTCCTGCAGCCATTTATAGGAGTAAAAAAGCCTGGTAAAATCATATAAGCTCAAAGGCTGTTTTTAAAAAAATGTGTATTACTGAGGCTGTAGTGGTGTACTGCACTGCGTGTAAGTGGTGCAGTGGCCTATATATTAAGAGTGTTAACTTGTCCAATTGGTTCCAATCTTGAGGCTTTTATTCATGTGAAAGTGTTTATCTTTGTATTGCAAGTTGCCCAGTAGTTTAAAAGCAGGTGGTTTGCACGGCATGAATAGAGGACATCATCATTTGTACTAAATCATCCCCATCTGAATGTAGCAGTGAAGGAAACAAGCTTTTTTAAAATGTTGGTGTTCATTGAACGTCTTTATCATTATTGTCAGTGTCTTATTTCAGACCTGCACTTACATTTATTTTGTTGATCATTCTTTCCTTTTTTTCTTTCTGTCCTTCTCAGATTTACTGCAGCTCTACCATGCCCGTGGCCTCCACCAGGACAGAGCCTGGTGAGACCAAACACTATACTCCACATCAGCTTAGCATCGCCACATGATTGTTTTTTTCTGTTTTCTTTATTCACAGCTCTCTCCTAAAATCCAGTTTCACAAAAGATTAAAAACCAGAAATATGAGAATGTGTTACTAATCTGAAAAATGGTGGTATTTGCTCTTTGTAAGCTAATTAATGATAACAGATGTTTTAGAGTTACAGCTACACTGTAGAATATCCTCCAGGAAACGACTGATGCCCCCAAATACCAATATTTATGATAGCGCTGTAGTATATATATATATATGATGCTGGTTTGCTTACACCTGTGGCCTTTGATTACATCTGATAATATCAAATTCAATAATATGAAAATACTAAAATAAATAAAAATGAAAAAATTACATAATTGCAGCTTGTTACATTGTAGCATACTTCCCTTGAATATGACTAAATATAGAAATTCTTAAATTCACTGCAGTTTTGTACATAACAGCACTGCTGTAGGCTGTATTTATGAGTCATAATCTAGTTTTCTTTCATTTTAAATTTCAACTTTAAACTTTAACCTTAAAGCAGCATTCCGGCTAACAAGCTGTGCTGGCAAGTTGAAATT